CCCTCAGCTTTTCAGCTCAAGGCTAGCGCTCTACCACTTGAGCCACAGTGCCACTTCTGGCTTTTTTCTTTTTGCTTATGTGGTGCTGAGGAATCGAACCCAGGGCCTCATGCATGCAAGGCAAGCGCTCTACCACTGAGACACCTTCCCAGCTCCCTGCTTCTTTTTTATAGCATTTTTTATTGTGATTAAGTGATTACATAAATTTCACAAATTTCACAGTATTGTGGGATAGTGATACTTAGTTAAAGTCACAAACACATTCTAACCTTCATGGGGCAAATTGTCTTTATCATGGTCTATAAAGTTTATGAGTTCTATGAGCTTTGACAATAGTGATTTCTTCCACATCAGGTGATATGTACATTTCTTTCCTTTTGCTTGCGTCAGCTGTCCCTCTTTCCTGCTCATTCCCTCCCTCCTATGGCTGCCATTGAGTTGCTTAGTTTGATCAGTGACCAGTGAAGCTGATGGGTCCTGCTATTGTATGTTTTCCCCTGTTTCCCTCTGTTTCTATGTCCTCCTAGTTTCCCTCCAATGTGCACATATGTGTCATATATGTGGTCAGTAGCATGGTGTCATTTAGTAATGATTCGACCAGATGAGTGGAGGTCCTTTGTTTCTTAAGACTTGTTTACTTTGTTGTATCTCCTTATGTTTTGAATTTAACATCCACTTATCAGGGAGACCACGTGCCGTTTGCCTCTGCTCTTGGCTTAAACCTCACTCAACATGATTTCTAGTTCCATCCATTTCCCAGCGAATGCCATTATTTTGTCCTTTCTAATGGCTGCATAATATTCCATTGTATATAGGTATCCCAATTTTTGGATCCATTCATCTGTAGTGAGTCATCTGGGTTGTTTCCATAGCCTGGCTATTGTAAACAGTGCTGCAATAAACATGGAGATGCACGTGTCCTTGTATCCTGGTTCCTGTTGTTCAGGATAGATGCCTAGGAGTGGTATGGCTGGGTCATAGGGGAGGTCTATATTTAGCTTTCTGAGGACCTTCCAGACTGCTTTCCAAAGTAGTTGTATAAGTGATTTACTATTTCTTGGGGCACTTCCTTCCTTCCTTCCTTCCTTCCTTGGGGCATTTCCTTATTTTTGTGCCAGTCCAATGGCTTGAACTCAGGATCTGGGCACTGTCTCTAACCTTTTTTGCTCAAGACTACCCCTTGGAGCCATAGCTCTACTTCCAGTGTTTTAGTGGTTAATTGGAGCTAAGAGGCTCATGGATTTCCTTCCTGGCTGCCTTCAAATTGTGATTCTCAGATCTCAGCCAACTAAGTAGTTAGGATCACAGGAGTGAACTACTAGCACCTAGAATAATTGAATATTTTATTTGGGCTGTCGAGCTCTTCATTTACAGGTTTCAGTTTGATTTATTTTTTCAAGATTTGTTTATTTTTTGTTAGTTATTGTGGGCCTTAAACTCAGGGCCTGGACACTATCCTTGAGCTCTTTTGCCCAAAGCTAGCACTCTTACTAATTTGAGCCACAGCTCAATCAGTTTTTTTAGTGGTTAATTGGAGCTAAGAGTCTCACAGGGACTTTTCTGCCTGGTCTGGCTTTGAACTGTGGTCCTCACATCTCAGCCTCCTGAGTAGGAATTATAGGCGTGAGCCATTGGCACTCAACTCTTAGTGAATTTCATTTTCATATCTTGCCTTGTCTTCTTTATTCAGCTGTTGGTTTAAATTCTCCAGTTGATATCCTCCTTGAATTTATTAACTGCTTATACATCACCTCCTTAATTGATCATTATCTTTTTGAAATAATACAGATGAACTCATATAATAATAGATGGCCTTTTATGACTGTCCTCTTTTTTTTTTTTTTTTTTTGGGTCTGGTCGTGGGGCCTGAACTCTGGGCCTGGGCGCTGTCCCTCAGCTCTTCAGCTCAAGGCTAGCGCTCTACCACTTGAGCCACAGCGCCACTTCTGGCTTTTTTCTTTTTGCTTATGTGGTGCTGAGGAATCAAACCCAGGGCCTCAGGCATGCAAGGAAAGCGCTCTACCACTGAACCACCTTCCCAGCCCATGACTGTCCTCTTTTATTTAACATGTTTTTTGGGATCATCTATATTGTAATGTATGTAGTTTTTTTTTTTTTTGTCTGTTGTTTTTAGTCAAAGCCATATTTTATTACATCAATGTATTTTCTTTCTTTTTTTTTTTTTGGTCAGTTGTGGGTCTTGAACTCTGGGCCTGGGCCCTGTCCCTGATTTCTTCATCTCAAGGCAAGCCCTCTACCACTTGAGCCACAAGCCACTTATGGTTTTCTGGTGATTAATTGGAGATTAGAGTCTCAGGGACTTTCCTTCTTGGGCTGGCTTCAAACCGAGATCCTCAGATCTCAGCATCATGAGTAGCTAGAATTACAGGAGTGAGCCACAAGTGCCAGCAACTGTGTGTGTGTGTGTGTGTGTGTGTGTGTGTGTGTGTGTGTCTGTCTGTCTGTCTGTCTGTCTGTCCTGGGGCTTGAACTCAGGACCTGGGCACTGTTTTTAAGCTTTTGTACTCAAGGCTAGTAGTGCTCTGCCACTTTGAGTCACAGTGCCATTTCCTAAAGAACTTCATTTAGAAGAGAAGTATCTTGGTCAAAGACCTTTGCTGCTCTGATTCTAGGTGGTTGAGTCTAGAGAATTTTTTTAAACCCTGTGCTGTGCTTTGATTGGTTACCCTTGCTATAAATTAAGTATTTGGAAGGTGACCTTTTTATTGACGTGTCCCATAACATCCTGACTGGTTGTTAATTTCCAATCAGGGTCTTTCTGCAAACCTTTAGGCACCTATACAAATGATTATGAGAAGGGCTGGGAATGTGGATTAGTGGTAGAGTGCTTGCCTAGCATGCATCAATCCCTGGATTCAATTCCTTAGTACCACATAAACAGAAAAAGCTAGAAGTGGTGCTTTGGCTCAAGTGGTAGAGTGCTAGCCTTGAGCAAAAGCTCAGGGACAGTGCCCAAGCCCTGAGTTCAAGCCCCAGGACAGGAAAACAAAAAACAACAAAGAAAAACCTACAACAAAACTATTATGAGAAAGCTTTTGGAACCTCAACAATTCAAAGAAGCTAAAAAGGGGGTGGAGGCAGGATGTCTTGAATTTCCTGCTTGGAACCTCATTTGAATCAGTATTAGCTCTTTTACATTTGGTTTCCACTTACTAGGTCAAGATGCTGTCCAGAGCCTGTGGGTCCTTATTAATCTACCCTTTCAAGAAATGTACTGCATGAATTTACTTAGTGACTCATCAGCTGATAGACATTTAGATTGTTTATATCTTTTGACTGTATGATTCATGGCACTGTTTAATATGTACAAAATAAATAGTTACAGTTTGAGATTCTCACTATATAGCACAAGCTGGCTTCAAACTGTGATCAGCCTGTTTTACCTTCCTAGTGCTGGGATTCCAGGTGTGTACCATCATACATGCTTGTACAAGTTTTGTTGTTGTTTTTTGTGGTTGTAGGGCTTGAACTCAGGGATTGGGTGCCATCCCTGAGCTTTTTTGCTCAAGGCTAGAACTCTGCTACTTTGAGCCACAGCGCCACTTCCCATTTTCTGCTTAATTGAAGATATGAGTCTCACAGACTTTCTTGCCCTGTCCAGGCTGGCTTTGAACTGTGATCCTCAGATCTCAGCCTCCAGAGTAGCTAGGATTACAGGTGTGAGCCACTGGTGATATTGGGGTGGCCCCCCAATATTGGGGTCCGTGATCAAAGGAACGAGACCGAAACAAAGCGAAAGTCAGACATAGCTGTATTTTGTGCCAAGCATCTAGAAACAGACTGACCAGTCAGGGCTGCCTCACCTTGGCAAACCCACCAAGCTGCATGGGCTAACTTTTATAGGGAACAGGCCATGCAGTTAGGCTGGCCACACACAGGTGGCCAATAGCACTGCAACACTTGCACAAAATTGCGCAGTTACGTTGGGCCACACGCAGGTGACCAATGAGGTTATAACTTATCTCTAAGCAGTTGTTTAAACTAGCCTACAACTTTGGTCAGTTTTGGCATGCATGTTTGGCAGAGGGGGGTGGGGAGTGGTTGTATCCCTTGGTGTGTGTGTGGGTGTTACATATCTGCTGTTACTAATTGGACATGTACACCTGACCTCTAGGCTCTGTTATCAGAGACTTGCAATCCACGTTTTTTCTAAACTTGTAAACAACAAGATGGATGTTTAATCAGGGTGGAGTCACCTAGGCTCACTGGGTCCTAACATTAAGATGGGGTCCCAGGGCTGGGAAGGTGGCTCAGTGGTAGAGCGCTTGCCTTGCATGCATGAGCCCTGGGTTCTATTCCTCAGCACCACATAAACAGAAAAACCCGGATATAGCGCTGTGGCTCAAGCTGTAGAGTACTAGCCTTGAGCTGAAGAGCTGAAGGACAGTGCCTAGGCCCAGAGTTCAGGCTCTACGACCCACCAAAAAAAAAAAAAAAAAAAGAGGCTGAGATCTGAGGGTCACAATTTGAATCCAGCCCAGACTGGAAAATCTGTGAGACTTTTTATTTTTGGTCAGTCATGGGGCTTGAACTCTGGGCCTGTGTGCTCCTCAGTTCAAAGTTCAAAATGAGCACTCTAACCACTTGAGCCACAGTGCTACTTCTGGTTTTCTGGTGGTTTATTGGACATAAGAGTCTCATGGACTTTCCTACTTGGGCTGGCTTTGAACTGTGATCCTTAGATCTCAGCCTCCTTAGTAGTTAGGATTATAGGCATGAGCCACCGGCTCCTGGCATCTGTGAGACTCTTATTTCCACTAAACTACCAAAAAAGCTAGAAGTGTGCTATGTTTCACAATGATAGAGTGCTAGCTTTGAGCAAAAGAATTGCTCAAGGCCAGGCCCTGAGTTCAAGCCCCAGGACCAGGACCAGGACCAAAAAAAAAAAAAAAAGAAAGAAAGAAAAAAAAAAGACTATCTGTGGTAAATTGTACTCTATACTCATACTTACCCCAATTTTTCTCTTTTTTTCGTTACAGACGCTGTATTCAGGTAGTACATAAACTGCTTTGTTACCAGAAGAAGTGTAGAGTTCGCCTGCATTACACCTGGCGGGAGCTCTGGTCAGGTAACTTCTCTCTTGGGTTCATCCTCTTTTGCTATACTTTTAATGAACCTGGGCTGTAGGCAGATTAAAAAGAAACAGTATATATATACATGTATTTACATTGTTGCATGATGCATATTACTATATATTATATATTATGTATTATTATATGATATTCCAGTTTCCCTTTTTCTCCAAGTCCTTCTTCTATCTTATATTTTTGATATTTCCATATAGAAATAATCAAAACTTTCTTTTTTTTTGGTTGGTCGTGGAGCTTGAACTCTGATCCTGGGCACTGTCCATCAGCTCCTCAGCTTAAGGCTAGAATTCTACCACTTGAGCCACAGGGCCACTTCTGGTTTTCTGGTGGTTAGTTGGAGATAAGCGTGTCATGGAGTTTCCTGCCCAGACTGGCTTTGAACTAGGATAGTCATATCTCAGCCTCCTGAGTAGCTAGGATTACAGGCATGAGCACCTGGCTTAACCGAAACTTTCTTGAACCAACGATTCTTTCGTGTAAGAGTGAGGTAAGAGTAGCCAGTACCAACTCGGATTCTTTCTTGGTTCCATTTGGTAGCAGCATGTGGATACAGGGAAGCTTCTGTATGTTTCAGGAGTGATATCCTAGGGAGAGAGGATAGGAAAGGGGGCAGAAAGATGGGGGGAATCCTGTTCTTTGGGTTACATCTGGCATTATTATTGTTTACAGACAGTGTGGATTGCACCACTCCCCCTGTGCCAGAGACCAAACAGCAAATTATAGTGTTTACTTTTGTCTTTATATCTATTTGGTTAAAGACATTGCCACCCCTGCAGGCGGGAAGTAGCTCTTCTCTAAGGCTACAATTTATACTGGTTTGCCATCCTTTCCTTTTGTGTAACTAAATTGGAGGTTTCAGGGAAACAGAAGAGACATGTTTTCTGAGGCAGTAGCTTGCTGATAGGTCCTGTGGCTTTTGTGACCTGATGGTATAATAGTCTTCTCCAGATCATTACAGTGATGAATGGTTGCCCTTCCCATGAGAGATTTTCTCTGTATTCTCAGCAGAGGGGAGGGTGTGCTAGTGTCAGAGTCTTTATAAGAAACAGGCCAGTAACCCAGCCCCCTTCCATAGAATTCATCTCACTTGTTGTGACACATGGTTTCCTCCCAGCCTAATTTGGCTTACTAAATTTAGTCCTCTATAATGGGAAGTAGAGATCTTTAATTAATGGATTAGCAAGTTTTTCTCGGTTACTGCCTATAGTGGTGAAAGGGGAGTAGGAGAATCACACTAATTGGCAATAGTGACATTTTGGTATTTTAGAAGAGAAAAGAATGGTTGTGTGAGAATTGGGGGAATGTCAGAAGAGCTGAAGAGAAATTGAAAGAGACTGAAATGACTAGAGTTAGTTTTCTAGGTAGTAATAATCCTTTAAACATAAAGGGCTCCAATTAATGCCTATGGGTAGCAGTATGATTGTTCAGTTTTAAAAGCCTAGAAGAAAGTAAAAAGATTAGAAACATGGCCCAAGAGGTAGAACACTTGCCCTAGGAAGCACAATCCCCAGCAGCAGGAAAGGTCAAGTGATAGAGAAAGTGAAAAAGATGCAAATCCATTTTGAGTATAGTTATAGGATCTAAGTACAGTGATCTATGTCTATAACAGAGGTAAACTTACACCTTGTAGTATTGAACAATCAGTTATGGTTGTAATTGCTTTTATCTGCTACTTCTGATTCCTTTTATTTTTAATTTTTTTTTGCCATTCCTGGGGCTTGAACTCAGAGCAAGGGCACTGTCCCTGAGGTTTTTTTTGCTCAAGGCTAACACTCTACTACTTGAGCCACAGCACCACTTCCAGCTTTTTCTGTTTATGTGGTACTGAAGAATTGAACCCAAGGCTTCATGCATATTAGGCAAGCACTCTACCACTAAGCCACATTCCCAGCCCTGGTTTTTTGTTTTTTGCTTTCTCTCTTTTGTTCTGTTTTTCTTTCCTCTTTTTCCTGAGCATTCTAACACTGGCCCTGTGATCTTGCTGGCTTTGCCTTTTGTTCCCTCATCCTCATTTTTTGTTCTCTGTCCTTTGCCCATTGTCTTTTCCACATTGCCCTCTATCTCCTATATATAGGTCAGAAACTGTAATGCATTGTTATAATTTTTGTGAAAACAGATAAGAAAATTTAAAATATCCTTTTAAAGTAATTTTGGTGGTGCTAGTTTCATAACTGCTATATATGCATTCTGTTACTCAGGCTGTGTTTCTAGTCTGTTTTGCTGTGGTTATTTATTTTTTGCCAGTATTGGGACTTGAACTCAAGTCCTCATACTTTCCCTTAGCTTTTTCTGCTCAAGGAAGGTGCTGTGCAACCTGAGTCACACCTCTACTTTAAGCTTTTTGCAGGTTAACTGGAGATAAGAATCTTAGGGACTTTTCTTCCCAGATTAGCTTCAAACCATGATCTCAGTCTCCTGAGTAGCTAAGATTACATGAGTGAGCCACTAGTACCTAGCTGCTCTGGTTATTTTTGAAATAGGGTCTTGATTTTTGCCCATGCTATCCTACACTGGGCTCCTCCTATTTATGCTTTCCATCATAGCTAGGATTACAGGTGTGATCCCCCAGCTCTGTTTATTTTTTCTGATTCATTTTAAAATTTTGGCTACTAATTTCTGTTTTTTTGTTTTTTGTTTTGCCAGTCGTGGGGCCTGAACTCTGGGCCTGGGCGCTGTCCCTCAGCTCTTCAGCTCAAGGCTAGCCACACTTGAGCCACAGTGCCACTTCTGACTTTTTCTGCTTATGTGGTGTTGAGGAATTGAACCCAGGGCCTCATGCATGCAAGGCAAGCGTTCTACCACTGAGCCACCTTCCCAGCCCCTTGGCTACTAATTTCTGAAGAAGACCATTCATTATTATATGTTTGTTTCTTGATTTTATTTATATCTTTAGAGCTTTCTATCCTGTTTGGTCTTGTAATCATGCCTTGTTTCAGGACTGATTGGTTAGTGTTTTAAGGGCCTTAATGGGTTAAGAACAGGTATAGGCCATGTGCCCGTGGCTCATGCTTCTAATCCTAGCTACTCAGGAGGCTGAGATTTGAGGATTGTGATTGGAAACATGCCTGGGCAGGACAGTTCATGAGGCTCATCTCCAATTAACCACCAAAAGGCGGGAGGTAGGGCCCAAGTGGTAGAATACTATGCTTGAATAAAAAAGCTCAGGGACACTGCCCGGGCCCTCAGTTTAAAGTGCCAGGACTGGTGAGAACATGTGTGCGCACATGTGCATGTGTGCGTGCTCTCTCTCTCTCTCTCTCTCTCTCACACACACACACACACACACACACACACACACACACACACACACACACACACACACACACACAACAAGGAGTCATTGTACGTGCCATTAATGAATTTTTTTTTATTTTTTAAAAAATTGTGAAAATACCGTACAGAGGGGTTACAATTACATGAGCAAGGTAATGAGTACATTTCTTATCAAGCATTGTTGCCTCCTCCTTTGTTTTTTCTTCTCTTCCCAGAGGGCCCCCCCCCCCGCCCCCCCCCACCATTAATGAATTTTTAATGACTGCTTGTTCCTGAGCAGTATTTGTAGTAGTATTCGATGTTAAGTGAGGTTAGCGCCTTTTTATTTTCTTTTATTATTGTTATTATTTTGTTGTTGTGAAATTACCGTACAGAGGGGTTGCAATAACATGGGCAAAGGTAATGAGTGCATTTCTTATCACGCATTGTTGCTTCCTCCTTTGTTTCCCCTTCCCATCCCTTCCCATCTCCGCCCCCCCAAAGTTGTAAAGTTCATTTTTCGATATAAAATCTTGTACATCTCATTGTTGCAATGGGTCTACCTGTATCCCTATTTAAACAATTTGTTTTTTCCCTTCCCCTCCACAAATTATACCAACATCAAATACAGTGAAAAACAGGGGTTATACCATGGGGGAGGGACATACAAAACAAAGAAATATCTTATAAATACGTTAGAAACACTAGCAAGAAAGAAAAAAAAATTTGAGTCCTTATCTTGGGGTTCATTTCACCTAACATCAACTTATCTGACCATTTCTGCTTGTCTCAGACATATACTAGTTATTGCAAATAAGGGAAACCATGGGACCTATATTTCTTTGGGCCTGGCTTACTTCACTTAATATAATTTTTTCCAAGTCTTTCCATTTCCTAACAAATGGGGCAATGTTATTCTTTCTGGTGGAGGGATAGAATTCCATTGTGTATATATGCCACATTTTCTTGAGGGGCATCTGGGTAGATTCCATCTCTTAGCTATGGTAAATAATGCTGCAATAAACATAGTTGTGCTGGTAGCTTTAGCATGGTCTTGTTTGTGATCATTTGGGTAAATGCCCAAAAGAGGGATTGCTGGGTCATAGGGTAGCTCTATGTGGGGAGTCTTGAGGAATCTCCATACTACTTTCCAAAGTGGTTGAACAAGTTTACACTCCTACCAACAATGCAGTAAGGTTCCCTTCTGTCCACATCCCCTCCAGCATCTGTTGTTATTAGAGTTCTTGATTATAGCCATTCTAACTGGGGTGAGGTGGGATCTCAATGTTGTTTTGATTTGCATTTCTTTTATGGCTAGGGAGGATGAGCATTTCTTCATATGTTGATTGGCCATCCTTCTTTTCTCTTCATAGAAGTTTCTCTTTAAGTCTTTAGCCCACTTATTTATTGGGCAGCTGTTTCTTTGAGGATTTGTTGTTGGGGATTTAATTTTTTGAGTTCCAGGTATATTTTAGATATGAGACCCTTGTCCGTTGTATGGCTAGTGAAGATCTTCACCCAATCCGTTGGCTTTCTATTGATCTTGCTAGCTATGTCCTTTGCCATGCAGAAGCTCTGCAATTTCATGCAATCCCATTAGCTCCTTTTTCTTTATAGACAAAGTGAGCTGCCCTGGAATCCTGATTTTGTGTGTTCATCCATAGAATATACAGTGTGATGAAGAGCAGTAAGTGTTAAGGAAAGCTGCAAAATACAATACTATATC